GGGCGATGATAACTTCCTCAATGGCTCAAGGGGGCGTTTCTTTCAAAAAGGTTAAGAACCACTGTTATAGGCAATATTATTACTTGCAACACATTCATAATAATCTTAGAACTACGGAGCTGGAAGGAACCCTATGGATCGAGTCTAGCCCATCAAGAGGGCCCAGTGGGGAATTGATCTCCCAACCTTTGGCTCTGCAGCCAGAAACCGAGACCACTGAATTATCTAGCATTATTTCCAAGCTGTGATGTTTTCTTAAAAAACGACTGGTTGACACATGGAGAAGAACCTCTTAAACATTTATCAATTGACATTTCCATCCTTCCACTACAACAGAGATCCCCAACCCCAGGTCCACGGGCCGGTGCTGGTCCATGGCCTGAGCTGGACCAGGCCGTGGAGACATACCTCTCCTCCCACGCCAGCACTCCCCCCACAGCTCCTTTGCGCATGTGCATGCACATGCGCCCATGTGAGCACTCCCCACCCCTCACACATGCACACAGTGCTCCCTGAGTGTCCTTCATGCACATGAGCACACTCGCATGAGCACTACACCACCCTTTGCACATGCACACAAGTGCCCACATGAGTGCCCTCCTGCTCCTTCATGCATGCGCAGAAGCACGGGGGTGCCCTGCCTTCCCCAACGGGTCTGTGGGGTCAAAAAAATTGGGGACCGCTGCGCTACAAGATATATTTCTACCCAGCATTTTGATAAATAACAGAAAGCTCAGTATGTAGAGACAGAAGACAATAAGCACATTGTAAAGATAAAAGCTCAGAAGGAGGAGACACTGAGTAAACCAAAAGAGTACAAGATTTCCCTGAGGGACCAAATCTAACAAGTGGTTTTCCTCCGGAATCTCTTCAATGAGATTACGGCATATCCCCGCAGTTAATTGCTTGTACCATTGGAAGTGATATTATCAAAGAACGAAGGGAGCAGCAAAAAAGACTGACAGAGAGAAAAAGCCCTCTTTGTTACGAAGGTTATTTTGTGCATAATCAACAAAGGAGCAGCAGAAAGCAGAATCAACACAACCACAACAACCAGCAGGAGGATTAAATATAATTACGATTACGTGCTGTCATATCTTTTAGCCTTTTGTTTCTGATCATGGGGCATTCTTGGCAAAGATACTGGAGTGGAATTGCCGGTTCCTACCCCAGGTGGATTGCGTTTAGTCAGAACTCTCCACTATGACCTGTCCGTCTTGGGTGGCCCTGCACGGCATAGCCCATAGCTTCTCTGAGTTACTCAAGCCCCCTCGCCA